GGCGATTTTTTTTTTTTTCCGACGGCGCGGGCGAGGTGTTGCTGGAGGCCGGAAATGGGCACCAACACCAACGCAGGGGGTTCACAGGGGGAAGAGGATCCTAAAGTTCGGTGCTGGTGGTAATATTTCAATCACCTTGGCAGCCAGAACATTACTACCATCACCGAGACCGGGATCCTCTTCCCACGGTGGAGGAACACCGCCGATATTGGTGTTGGTGTCAACCTCTAGGCCTGCGATGTTGGCCGATGCGGTCGAGACGCTGTCGCAAGGAGCCCGAAGCAGGCCCCCTTCGCCATGTCAAGCGTCGACCTCCCACAGACCACCCTGGGACAACCTGAGGGAACATGCAAACCGATCAAGGAGCACGGAGCCCCGCCTAGGGAACCGCGCTCTACACACCGACGTTTTGGTGCGGCCCTGCACGGACCTTTGAGCAAGAAAGCGGAGCCTGGTGTATACGGGACCCTGGTGTATACATTGTCCAATGCTTCCTGGGAAAATGGGGAAACAAGCACACACTACACCACCCCGACGTCGTCCCCGACCCTCAAAAAGTCCTGGGATTGGAGGACGGCCCGGCACTGGTAATGCACAGGCTCCAACTTCCGACCTCCCCAACGAGACAGGTTCCCCCCCTAGCGGCCCGACTGCAGTCCACCGGCAAGCCCCCTCCAGAAGACCAACAGCCGACGGGGCCCCGAGCGGTTCCCGCCCACCGAAGCACAAACGTCGGTGACGCACGTGATGGCTCTGGCGATGTTCTCCTGGGCGAGCGCGCCTGGCATGCACAAGCGGCCACGCTTGCTGCACTGGTCTCGCGGATCTCGATGTGGGCTGCCCGATAGCGGCACGGCTCGTGTGTTGGGCTCGTCGCGTGTGACTGCCTCCTTGGATGCAGCCGACCGGAAAAGAGGCACCGATGCTCCTTCCGTCGTGTCGAAGGTGCGCGGAACGTCCGATCGAAGTGAAGCCAGCCCAACTCAAGGTGGTTGGCGTGCGCAGCTGCAACCCCATCCCCGTGCCTCTCCTCCCAGAGGCTGAAGTCTAAGGCCACTGGAGGCCGCCACGTCAGTGTTCCACGCAGCATATGTACAGTGTGCAGCCAGGACGCCGTACTGTTAACAGCAGTCGAGAGCTAGGAAGGCGTGCCATGGCGAGGCAAGCATGGGCGGGACGTGGATTGCACGAGGAGGGTAGAGAGGAATGAGATGGCAGAGCACATCCCCACCCCTCCTGCTCCTCCGCCTCATCGTCTTTGGTCTCCCCCCTTTCCCATGCCGCCGCTCGGACGCCCATTTCCAGTGCATGCTTCGACTCCGTGCATTCACTTTTCGAAAATGATCTGAGATGCTCCTCTGTGGTCACCACTGCGGAAACATGCACCGTGAGAGCGATGCCAAGCCTCGCCCTGCTGCTCCCACGCCGCAGGCGCCGCCTTCCAGCTCCCCCGGGGCCGCGCAGCCTGCGCACGTGCGCGCGGGCGCCCACAGGAAGGCACGCTACTATACCCGGAGGGGGCCCCTTGGAACAGGCACGGCCCCGGCTTCGGCGCGGACGAAGCCAGGACGAGGACAAGATCGGGTGAGGATACAGTCGGGGCGTTGACCTAAGGAACCCTAAATAAGGAACGAGGCCCCTCTTTTCCATAAGTTAAACTTCGATTCCCTATCGAAAACATAAGGAAAACCTGAGGCAAGCTGTGAAACACTTAAGGAACGCGGAGCCCCTCCCCAACCAGAAGGGTTCCATCTTCAGGGCCCCGACTGTAAGCCGAGACTCTCGCTCTGGGAGCGCTCTGGAGCGCTCCGGGGCGGAGTTCTCTTCGTCCTGGCCCCGTCCGATCGGTAACTGCGCGCGCGCACCCGCTGCGGCTGCAGCTCACGAAAGAGCACGCACCGCGGGAGTGCGGGTCTCTGCGTGAGCTCGTCGCGGTGTCCTGCGGAGGCTCGCTGCATCGCGCGGGGCGCCGAGCCATCCGCGACGGTCTCGGCAAGCTCGTTCGCAGGAGCCGGAGCCAGAGACGCAGTAGGAGTCGACACGGGGCGACGGGTACACATGTGCGAGGAGGTGCCGAGCGGAAGAATGTGCCAAATCTCACCGGGCCTGTGGGCGAAGGAATTGCTCTGTTCCCTCTTCTAGCATGCCGACGTGCCTCAGAGAGGTCTCAGAGGGGGCCGCCAGACACCCCCGGAGCCCTCGGGGAACCTCCAAGAACCGAAAATCGCGCTCAAACCCGAGGGGGCAAGGAATGGTTTGTACCTTCTGCAGTGGAGGCCCGACCACAAGACCCTTCTGCAAGAAACCCAACCCTGGAACCCCAGGACGCCTCTTGATTTTTGGTACGGGCACGCCGCGTTTCCCATGGCAAAACCATCGAATCCCAAGAAACCCAGGGCAACCTGGAGGCAAGCAGGGTGTTTCTTGGCATGAAGCTCCACTGTAGCCTTTTCGCATGGCCCGAAAGGCCTCCAAGCCGGACACAAGAGGCCCCTATGACAGCCCCAAAAAAGGGCGCCCAAGAGCGTTCCAGAAGGGTCCCAAGAGGCTAGGTTTCAGCCTCTGGGGAGGAGACTCAAATTTACGGCCCCTCTTCCTTCTGAGCGTTGGGGCCAAAGATCGCCCCAAGACCCACCAACGAAGCCCAAAGGGGACCCCAAGACCCTTCCAAATATACCCCTTAGAGGTTCCCGAGACGGCATCAAGAGAACAAGAGGCTTCCCAAGATGGCTCCAAAAGACCTCCACGAGGCCCTCATACCAAAAGATCCGCGAACGCCTTCTCCTCCTCCTCTTCCTTATCCTCCATTCCTTCCTTCCTGCTTCCTCCTCAATTCATCGTTCGCCATTGTTGCCCCAATGTTGCGTTTCACTATTTGTGTATGCTTCTTTCTCCCGTCAATTATCATGGGCATCGATTCTGAACGGGTGGATGTGGCTACGCGAC